GAGAAAAGATTAAAATATGCTTACTGTAAAACGATTGTGTTGTTGTCTATTGGAAGGTCATACAGCAGAATATCATAATGGAGGCCAATCATGTACAGTTAAGTCCTAGAGGCGTTCAAGGATTATTGTTGTGGATGTATAAATAAGTCTTATACTGCCTTAAAGCCTTTTCTTTGGGTGCGCTACTGTAAATAGGATGTAAATTGAAAAAAAATAATAATCTTGGTACATACAGTTACAGGCTTTATTTAACATCTCTTCAAATGATGATCTTCAGAGTTGGGGGTAACATATTATAAATAAAGTGTGTTATGTAATCATATTACTTCTGGAAGTAAGGAGTAATGTGTTACTTTTCATTAAAAAAAACAGGCCTCAACAAAAAAGCCTGCATGGTCATGCAGTTACATTACATATATAGAAAATAAAAAATATTTAATACTTAAATGGATTAGTTTTGTTCGTTTTTAGTCAAAATACTGACAGCACAAGAAATAAACTGCAAAAAAAAAAAAACATCAGCAATATGCACTGCAATTAGTTGCTTTTAATTAGAACATTATTAACATAACAATAGAATTAAAGGTGCAGTAGGAGATCTTGGAAAATGCTAACTTTAGCCTGATAGCACTGAAAGCGAACGTCCCACCCTCCCTGCAATCGCCGTCCAAAGCCACGCCCCCTGAACGCATTTACGCTCACAGACCAGAGACAACATTACTACAATAGGCTACATCAGCGGTTCCCAATTCCAGCCCATGTTCCGAAGTGAAGTAAACTTCAACGGATTTCCCCTGCTCAGAGAGTAGGGAGCAATGAACACTGTGTAGGGATCATATCGATCGGAACACAGCTGATGCATAATACATACGTTGACAGGCAGGTAGGAAAGCATATTAAAATGCTCGGACCGAGCGTTTTGATTGGACGAACATTTCTTGATCCTACGCCTTCCACAGAATATATAAATACAGACAAATACATTTAGACCACTTATCTTAATGATTGCTATCGGGATGTGAAGAGACTTTCAACCAGCATAACAAATAATGTTTCTGAAGACAATCACCTATTGCACCTTTAATTAGACCATAGTAACATAATATTGTATTATTATTTTTATGTTAAATTCCAAAACACAGATTATATTAAAACGGATTTTACTATCGGCAGTCCCCTCTTTTCATCTCCACATCTCCACTCCTCTGTCACCATGAGGAAAAAACACTAGTGAAAAGATGAGAAGCCAGAGCTTGGGTTCCACAAACTCTTTTTCACATCCTCACACGACGGCTTGTCGATTTTTACATCCCTGCTTGAGAACTTAATTGTCTGCCTTTACATTTACCAATAGATAAATTTCCTAAAGCACGTATTTTCACGGAGATGACTGTACCTTCAGGGATGTTAAATTAATGGCATATAATTGACTAATTAAATGCTTATTGATTAGCAAGTTCCTAGGTGATGAGGACGCAGGAAATGGCTACTTTAACACATGAAAAAGTGCCCATTTTACTCCATTCTCCATCCCAGGAGTACGGGAAGACATGGACAACAGATTCTGTGTAAAGAACAGGACCTTTCTGATATAATTTGTTTGTTGTCACAGCAAATGTACCAAGGATTTCTAAATATCAATGTGGTATTTTAGAGCCATATTAAAATAAAATAAAATATTTTACCCAAAAATGAAAATTCTGTCAGCATTTACTAACCATCATGCTGTTCCATTTACTTTCTTCTTTTGAACATAAAAGGAGAAATTCTGACTGTACTAATAACTTTTTTTTTTTTGATGAAATTACAATGAATGAGGACTGAAGCTTTCAAACGCACTACAAAATTAATTCAACAGCTTTTTGTGAGAATCAATTCAAAATTTAAGCCATTATTCACTGGTAATCCTTCCTGTAGTGAGCTGTTAACCAGATCATTAAGTCATGATGAGTTCAGTTTGATTTGCAAATTAATCATTTAAACCATTTTTGTAAACTGAATCAGCTGATTCATTGAAAAGATCTGATGATTCATTCACGAATCGGACATTTCTGCATCTCTCATGAACACACCAAGGTCTGCTTCTCACACAAAGAAGGACATGATAGTCAGAAAATGAACAGAAAAGATCAGATCAGAAAATTTTAATTTTTTTATAGTACACCGTTCCATTAATCGAAATAACTTCTTGACTGCATTTTAGACTTGGGATGCAACTATCTACAAATTGCAATGCGGTAGTGGTCATGGCCTCTTTTCCCTGACATAAATGTAAATACAGAACAGGTTAATTCCCTACGAGCTCCGTGTGTTTGTGTGTGTTTGTATTTTAGAGCAAAGAGACTTTGACATGTTTCCTTGCTCAAGGTCAGAACAGCAGCATTCTCCAGCCACTGATGGACACACGTGTTCCCTCCAGAGTGCATTTGCTAGTGTGCGCGGTCAAAAGACAAATTGTTCGACAGCCTGAGCTTTTATGAATTCAGCCCTGAAGTCTAGGGCTCAGGAAAATAGGTTAAAGAAAATCCTTGGCCCGAGATATCCAACTTTGAGTTGGAAGTCGAGGTTTTCAGAAAAGTTGAGTTTGAGCCGGTAGAAGTCAACAATGAAAGCTGGAGTTAATCACTTCAATTTGGCTACTAAATGTGCTTTGTATCAGGCTGACCACAAGAACAGTAAGTCATCATGAAGTCAAATCAAATCAGTGTTCTTAGGTGCTTTCAGCAACAAGGGGAATTCAATAACGATCAATTGAATTGGTTATTTGCATGCTCTATTTGCATGTTTAAAATCCATCTAAAATAATAATATTGCAAATAAGGTAACCGCTCAAACATGGCCTTTTTTTTTTTTTTTTTGCTGTGTGCAAATTTTACTTCACAGGGACAGCAATGTAGGTACCTTTTTTCTGAAAATGAACTTGATTGGATATATAAAACTTAGAATGCTCTTCTCCATCACTGAGTGAATTACTACTACATGATCAACAGAAAAAGGCACAACAATCACTTTTTAATACATTTGTTTACCATCAGCTTCCCACAGACAGTAACAGCATCAACTAATGCCTACATTAACACAAATTTACATTAATTTACAAAGAACAACAACTAAAATTGATAAGAATTTAAATGACGATTTATATATGGCGCAGTGCTATTGCTGGGCATATTAAACTGGACTGCAGCTATTTATTGAAAGCACACACTATTTTGAACTCAACAAAAGTGAACCAACCTTTTAGTGAATTTGTCCCATTACTGGATAAGAACGAGCCTAAAACTGAAGAGATGCACCTGACATTTGCCTGTCCAAGAACAGGCAAAATCAACCATGTAACACTTAATAAATAGACAGCATTTTGAAGTTTTTTCAAGTAGGTCCAATGTTAGAGTTCTCAGTTTTTTTTTTTTTATTGCCATCTACAACAGGAAACAACTCTTGAATCACCTATTGTTAGTGAACATTTCGACGCACCCGCAATCGGTTTAAATTCCAGATTGCACTAATCAAAACCTTTCTTCACTGCAAAGAGCAGTTACATACTCAATAGCTCAAAGAATTTCTTCCTGACCTGAGCTTTCAGGTATGCGGACAGACCGCCAAATCCATGCAAAAAGACTTTAATTCTGCAGTTTCAACAACTGAGTAACCCAAACACGCCCAGTTCCTATGCAAACAGCCTGTACGCTGGGTGCTTTCCGACAGTACACATGTAGCCAAAGGCATTTGAAAAGCTAAGGGAGTTTTGGTACGATGCCCTCCTTTAAATGCTCTGGTAACCACAGATGAGGCACAAAAAAGAGAGAGGATCATTAAGTGGACACAACATGAATCTTTTTAATTACTCATCCTTGCCTTTAGTCGTTAACGATAGGGGGAGCCTCCAGTGATAATCCGTGTAATTGGACAATGGGCCTCTCTCATTCAATTATTGACCACTGGCTCTGCTAGTGCACTGATATCTTGCTTTGCTTGCTAAGATCATGGGACTGTTTAATCTACTGTAAGGACTATATATCTTTATTTCACCTATATAGACACAGCATACTGGTTCACTGAGGACATATGCAGTAAATAAAGTATGCATATAAGGCGATAAATTCCTTGTGGTGAAATAAACAATAATATTCACAAATAGCATGCATGATAAAACTCATTCACAAAGAGTCGCTCTGAATTAAGTCTAAGCTCTATTGCAACTCAGATGCATTGATGGTTTCATTGGCAATGCAGGGCCAGTGTTAATTAACCCTACTTACAAAATTCACACCTCCAGCTACAGCCATTTTCATAACTGTTCCCAAATATGCCGCTTTTAATTGCTACACAATTAATTCACTCAAATGAATATTTCCCTGGCAAAAAAAATTAATACTTTTTTTTTCAAATTAACAGCTTTTTCAAATCATTCCACATAAATAGATAAATACACTAATGTTCCTTTGGAAGTCAATGTGGCATGAACATTATTTCAGTGTGCTTGAGCAGAGAAAGAGGAATACGGTTTCAGTTTTTTTAATGAAAGCCTTCCCTTAAAACACTTTTTCATAAAGAAACACATTTAGGTCGATGATACATTTGAATGCTATGCACAAATACCTTTTCAGCTGGAAAAGAATCATTATGAGACCCAAACTTATACCATTTATACCGTATAGTGAATTTTTAGCACTAAGACGATGTATCTGGAACAATAGGTGATCATTTATGCCGTATGCTCTCAATGCGCTGCTTTAGGGCCAAGGTACAGCATGTCATTCACTACAAAATCAATGAGCTCTGTTCTTTGCAAAGACAAAAGTGTCGTTTTTCAGAAAGACGCAGAATGTAAGAATACTAAACCTGCCGTTAAGACTAAAATAGATATAGATAACTGAAGATGTAAAAAGACTCATTAATTGTGGTCATTACTGCTTGAAACTTATTGATTTTAACAATGCAAGAGGTTCAAATAGCGTATCTACTAAAAGCTATTCTCTCTGCGGCCTCAGAGCACAGCGTAATCAACAGATTGTTAGACATGAATTTTCTGTGCCTATGACAATGCCTGATATATGGGGTCGATGAGAGTATTCCTAATCCATCCATTGCTACAATTTATTAACTTATTATAATTGTATACACAAACATTGTAGTGATTTAGGTGACACAGTGGAAAGATGAAATCCGTTTATATTAAAAGGGGTGCTCACCCCTGAAACACAGAGCTGGCAACACCTTTCAACGGCTGCTTTTAACAACATGGTTATTGTTTTATTGATCAGGATTTTATTACATATTTGACATCCGTGTTATGTGTTAATCGAACAGCGTATAATTTTCTGACACATATTTTACGAGATTACGACCGCAATTAATTTAATAACTTTTTTTTTTTTTGCACATTTCTGTCTGAGCGTGGTTTGTGCTTGAGTGGACCGTTTGTCTTGCGGGTATTGTCAGTCATGTACGCGCTCTCTCGATGGGCTAGTGCATGACCCAAACGGAGGGGACGGAAATGGCCGACGGTACATGCTCCATGGACTCACCGCCACTCCTCTATTCTCGTTCAGCCTTCCATCCTTTTGTTCCGGGGAGTGATATCACTATTAACGGGACCATTCATTGACATACAATTCCACCGCTCTACACTTAAATGTTCCCATTTTATGGGAAAATTATACGATGGCAAAAGCTTCACTCCAGGATACTTGGGTAATGTGACATTTTTCAGCAAAGGACGAGTTAACCTATAGGATAAAAGAAGAAAAAATGTGTCACGAGAGCAAAAAGTGGCATCAATAATATTAATTACAGTGCTTTTATCGCACCTGTGCTACATTTATTGAAAACTAACACAATATCAGTTCTGAAAAGCACAGCACAGGCAATCACTGTGTACTAAAGTGAGAAATAAGGCAAAAAAAAAAACAGTATTCACACAAAAGGAAAAGACAAAATCAGCATGTGCTCTCATATATTTCTCAAGAGTACATTTGCTGAAGGTTGCAAAAAACTGTATCAGAACCATTAATTAATTTGTTCATCTCATTCTTCATAATTGAAAGATCTTATTAGCCCAGATAATAAAGGCTCTCAAACCTTCCCACCTGAACATAGAGTCGGCACTGTGCGGACCTCAGACTCTTTAGCGGCCTTGTCAGCAAATGTATTATTTGGAATAGAGCAATAGGTAAGAACTTGCAGGTTTGTCAAACTCATTTTCTGTCTTTTTGAAATCTTCACAGCGACTATGTTCTGCAATAATCAGCTTTAAGACCTTGAGTGCCCAAAGGTCCTTCGAACAATTGTAGAATAATTGTTCGTCACAGGTATTTGAAGTCCAAATTGCTTAATAATCATAAATTTAAAGTAAAAATATGCTAGCAAAGACTTAAAGGCAGAGTCCTGGTACTTAAAATGTACCATTAGCAATATTAATCACTGAACAAAGGCAGTTGTAGTCATAATTCTGTCTAACTTCTGTCAAAATCTGCCACATCTCCAAAAAAAAAAAAAAACTGCAAATCTAAGATGGAAATGATTTTCTCTGTCTTGCCATATTGCTAAATGTGATTAGTAATTTGCAAAAACAACAACTTAAGGCACATTTTCAGGCCCACACTGAATGTAATTTTGAAAGTTTAAGAAGTTTCTTGTATTCTTGTACTTGTTGCTTTATGACAAATTTGGTACATTTCATACACTTTCAACTACCTCTAGCATTGTACAATTCTAAGCTCCATTTAACACAATTTGTTTAAATCTATTCTGCTGCTATTCTGATAATTTTCCCCCCAAATCCCCAGAAAATGAGTGAAAAAGTCTGCAGATTCTGCCTGGTCCTGAACATTTGTACAAAATAGGCTGAATGGCATCCTTATCTTCCAAGAGACACCTCCTCTTATTCTCAAATCAGTTTGAACATTTGACAACAGGCGAGCAGTTGGTCACACTGCACTGTTAAAATCATTTAATGAACAATTTGGCGCATACACACCACCATTAAAAGCACATTTGAGCAAAACAGTCCAAGGTAAGACATCAAACAGACCCAGGAACACAATAAACCGCTCACTGTTGGAACACACCAATCAATGAATACCAGCTGTTGTGAACATTTACATTGCACTAGAGGGTCTTTTACTCTGTTCTGTAGTTGTGGTATGCGGCCTACCTTGAGCGACGAGTATTTGAGACGTATCACATTAAAAGATACAGGGGGATATGCTTCAGATTTGTCCCAATTAACCTTGTAATAAGATGTATCAAAGGCCTTATTAATGATGGTAATGAGAGAGATGAATTGACAGTGTATAAAAACAGTGCTGTATGAAGATATGCCTGCAGCACTAGCAGACGGAGGGAGACCACACTCATGAAAATGTAGGACAAAAGAGATCCTCACCAGCAAGGACACACACACATAGAGGGAGAGAGAGAGAAATACAAGGCCAGCATTGTGTTACCCTTGACTCTTAAAGTATATATGAATCAAGGAGCTTATTATCTGGTTGACACCATAAGAGAGTTGTTCCCTCCTCAGCACTACTTAGGGCTCACCTCATAATGTGCATGCGCTTAAACCCAATCATAATCCGTCTTACGCAATAACAACAAGACAATACTTTACTGAGAATGTCTGATGTCATATCATAATTACACTAATGGTAAAAGCTCTCTTTGCAAAAAAAGTGCATTTTTACTTGTATGGTTAATTGTTTTCTGCTAAATGAGTGGCCTTGGTTTTCTTTCATCAAAAATAAAAAAAATGCCATAATGAAGGCATTTTTTGAAGATACATATGGAATATATGGAATTTGGTTAATGGAAGTCCAACAATATAAAAATCAATTCAAAAAGACAAATGTGACTACAAAATATCTAAGCAGGTTAATATAATCTGCTCCTCAGATTGGAATATCTATATTCTACTAGAATATCCATTTAGTGCCAAGACAATATTGCCAGGAATATCAATAATTCAAAAATATTCATCAAAGATGATCATTTTGACTTTGACATCTAATTAAATAAAAAACAGAGAGTCAAATAGTCTGCCTTCAACCAATGTGGGACTATCAGCTAATAGAAAAAAAAATCTATTTAGTCATTTACCGGGTTGAATAACTTCAAGGGTTTTCCGAGCCCCCCTTGGATCACCCTGGGAATTCCCAAGTGAAGCCATCGCCTTAGGAAACCTTCACTTTCTTTGTTTGAGAGAGAATCCCCAACAGATTTAAGTCATATACTGTTTAACTTCACCAAATCCAATTTCCTCCTTTTCTCATATTCCTGTGATATTTTGCAGTATTGTGAGGCCATTTATCTGTAGTCTTAATTGGAAATTCTGATATCTATTTTGACTGTCCTTGGGAGGGATATTTCTTTGTCATTTTCACTGGAATAACCTGGTATGATGGCCTGGTCACATAGCTGTCCTCAAACATTTGATAAAAGCTGACAAATCCGGGAGATTTATTGACATTATTAGGAGCCAGATGACATCATAACCTTGTTTGGAAATTGAGGAATTATCTGCGTTAGTTCCAATGTCAGGAACAATTGGAAACTTAAAGCTGAAGCGTGTTAATTTTAACCTTTTTTATTTTTTTTTTTCAAATATTTATCTTAACAAGCTTAATATGCAGAGACAACTGCTTGCTGAAAACTTTTCAAAATTAATATTTTTGCAATTTCTTGATGCAAATGGTGCAGCAATTACATAATTCCTTCAAGTAGCTTCATTTTGACTCCAATCAATCCATTAGAATCTTAACTATGAGTCTATCAAAGTCATTCTGTTTCAACTCATCCATCATCATGTAAATCTAGGAACTGAGTGTCTTTGTATGGGGGATGGGAAGCTATATTTATCATTCAATTTAAAGCAGCAAGGTTTTTCTCCTTTTATACAAATGAATTAATCTATTTTTGTCATTACGCATAATGTATTTCATTACTGGAGGATAAAAGAGGGGTTAACTCATAAATAATTTAGAGGAAGGGAATCTGGTTGCAGTATAATTAATTATCAACTGGATTTAGAATATGACTCCATGGATGATCATTTTATCTGTCTTTGTCTCAAGGTAAGAAGGAAATGTTAGCGTATTATGAGACAGCATATTCAAACATGTCTGACATTTTACAAAAGTCTGTATGCAAAAAAGCAAACATATATATATGCGTTGTATGTTGTCTTTATGATATATAGCTTAAAAACACAGCACTTACTCAACACTTGCTTTTGAAAAGGCATCTGATCCAGTCTATCACACATTCATATTTTTTCCATTAACAGGCCCTCTGTTCTGTAAACATATGCAAACAAAACTGATTAAAACTGCTTATCATTGCATGTTGGTCTTAGATGATATATAGCCTAAAAACCTTGCAAAGTTTGATATATTTATCAAATCTGAACTTATTAAGATTGCAATCCTTTAAAGTGTTTTTTTGTTTTTTTTTGGAGATGAAACATGAACTGCACTGAACCTACAACATTTGATTGATTTATTTAAAGATGAAGATCGTAGCTGTGTTTGTAACCAAAAGTAACCGTGTATTCTAACTATTTTTCCTTAAGCAAATTTAATGTATTATAATTGTTGTTTTTCTCTATCTACTGCTTTAGATGAGAGATTTGCTACATGACAAACTGCCATTTTATGATAATCATTATGGCACAAAGGAACATATTGCAATGAATGGAATCCTTGTGATCTGAGCATAATCTATATCCTGACTGTTGTCTCCAGCATGCAATATTCTTTCACAGGGTGCTCTTCACACTTAACCAGCACTCACCGTTGAAGAAGGCATCTGGCACGGTCCACTCCCACACACATTCCCACATCTTAATTTTTCAATTAGCAGGCCCCTTGTTCTCTAAACATATGCAAACACAGCAGGGCATCCTTTAAAATTCAACTCTAATCTGCAGGCTAGTTAGAGTAAATTGGCAGGCTTGTAAACCTTGAGAAATCTGAATAGAGCTCATTATCAGTTCATCTCTGCTGACTGGCTTTTATATGAGAAGCATGTGTTGTAGAAGCTGAACTATGATTGTTTTGTGTGAATAGGTATGTGTAGACATGTTTGTGTGCAATGAAAAAACTACTGAACTTCACTGCAGTAGTGCTACAGGCTACAGCATAAGGCTCTGAATAAAAAAAGTCTTTTTTTTCCCCTTGTGAAACTCTGTGAATAATATTGGAAGAAAGTAGATACATAATTGGGTGTTTCTTCAACTTATGACACTTTTATGTCCCAAGGGTTGATTTTTATTAACACTTACAACTTTTTTTCTTTTCTTTTTGTTATATCCAGTTCACATTCAAACTGTCTTGCAAAGTTTTTACCATGCTTTGATTATTTCTTTTTCGAATACCTTCTACGTATAGATTTTATATCGTCACAGACTAAGACTTTCAATCTTACAATATGAAAACCCATCATGAATGAATTATTCAACTTTAAAAAAAAAAACAGTAAAAGACCAAAACTACTGTGCTATACTAATATATTTCAATATTTATAGTATGAATATTATTTATATAATTTGATTTTACTTTTTTAGGGTTGTTATTTCCACCACAAACAATTATGCAAGTGTTTGTTTTTTGGGGTTTTTCTAAATTAGTGTACTTGTTTACCAAGTACAGAAAAGAGAAGTCAGAAAAAAAGATACAATTCTTCTGTATTGCACATGTCAGCTGTTACAGTTATTAGACAAATGTAGTAAATAGTGCGAGTGTTGTAATTAGACAAATTTAGTAAATAGTGGGAGTGTTAAAACAGTGTTTTAAGAGAGTTCTACAGAGCCAAATTGCCTATAGTTGAAGAAACAACAAGGCTAATTGTGAAAAAAGTGCGACATCTTCTAGAAACATCAGCATCAAATATGCATATGAAGACGTGTTTGAACATGAATAATGAGATCTACCACTAAATTAATCATCTCTGAATGACAAAAATTATAAAACGCGACGTTACCTTGAGTTTTTGTTGTCAAACATAATACACGTCACGACGTCGTCGCTAGACTTGGGTGTGTCTCACATGTCGATCAAAGTTGCTTCTCTCTTTAAACCAGCAGTGACGACTAGCGGGGGTGTGAGAGAAACGAAATCCTCCCATTTGCTTTGATGACAGTAGCCTACTTCTGTAATTTTCAGTCTCACTAACTTTCTTTATGACTAATCATTAGTAAAATAGCGACGTACAGCTTTATCTGCTTAAGTGAGATAGGAATCATCATTTTTGTTTTGCTGAAGGCGTGTCGCGCATCTTTAAATCTCTCACGTGATGTCTTTACATTCCCGTCACTAAGATAACTGTAACGTTATATCAATGGTAAGTTTTCATACACAGCTTTAGCAGTGTCTTTGTACTTTTTTCATGATTCGGACCATAAATGACAATTGTTTTGATATCACACTGTTAGACAGATGGCTGGACAAAACGCGGAAATCAAGCTTGATTTGATCAAAACTGGAGAGAGAAGCTCTTTGGTAAAAGCTGGTAAGTTAAATAATAGCCAGCATGCTCGCATATTAGTCTAACACACTGAAACGATTTTGGTTTGGTGCATGACATATTGAGAACAATGTTTTCTCACTCATTTTGAGATGGTTATTGATTGAAGGGTGCAACAGTGCATTAGCTTTCAGAGCAGTTAGAAATAGGTGAATCCTGTCCCCAGTCTTAATGGATCTGTTTTTATCTATTTTTTCACTATGACTATAACTTTCCCCATCCAGTAAATCCTCCCCCAAATGTAGTTTTTATGAAGGTGTAGTATGCTCAGAGAAGGGGAGACTGGGGCTAGTTGTCACACTGTCTATTACGCCATAGATCCCCACATTTATTTATCAGAAAGACTTGTATTAGAGATTATATCATGCATAAAATGGTTATGCATGACAGCTGTGCTGTGATTGTGAACAGCTGATAATGGCACACCTGAGAATCTGCTCATTTCGAAGCTGCTGTTTAAATCCTGTGACTGTGTTGTCAAAGAGCATGGGCTCCCCTGTAATAAAACACGAAAGATTAATCTTCTACGTCTGTCATATCATAACACGTTCACTTCACAAAGCGAGAACACAGTGAAGACAAACCACAGAACTTTGTGGAGAAACCGTTCTTTATCCTCTTTTCTAAATTATTCAATCTGAAGGAGAGAGAGAGAGAGAAGAAGAAAAAAGGCCAATACAGCCCAAAGCCATTTTCATTTGTCTTTCCCCTTCTCTTTTTTATTTTGGACTAACAATGCAGATTCCTCTACGGAAAATATGTCCCGTGTGTTAATTAATCATAAGACATTAAATGTTAAATAAAAGAGAGAAAAGCACATTGAATAATTCATTTAGGATAGGTGGAAGAAAAAATAAACAAGGTAGTGCAGCCAAAGCAATGATTCATTAATAGTTTGCATTCAGATCTGGCAGATTCATTATTGAATGATTTCTGGGCTCACTTTGAGACCAGTGAGAGCACAGGAACACATCTCAGCATGTTTTCTAGACAGGCCTTGATAAACATTGCTTCAGGATGAAAGAACTTTTGAAATGAGAACTGACACGGTGGATTAGAGAACATTAATTCTTCTGCATATATAGTGGTAGATTTGTTACTGACAGGGATGTTTAGAGTATTTAAAAGGGATGTATTTGAGCACCGCAAAAATTACACTTTCTCCTTTGACCAGTTAAATGTGCAGAGACAAATATATAAGTAAGCTTTGCAAAACAATGTAAAAAAAATATGGCTCTGTGGCACTTTCAAAACATTGCAGAGTCGATTCATGAAATGTTGGATTCTGGCTCAGACAATGGCATGAGTTTGGGGCTTGAATATGGAGTGCATTAGTGCCCACCCACTTTTTCAGCAGACTTTAGTAATAGTAATTTTCCATTAAATTTTTCTCTTAGGGATTTTTCAAAATTCCTTGTTAAAGAGTAATAAGCCATGAACCAAACCAACCAGCTATGCAGTGAATCACAACATTACAAGCTTTGTTTTGAAGCTCAAAAACTGTGTACTTAATGGTTTTAATAGGCGTTGCGAATGTGTAACCTGTGTGGAACCAATTTTTTCTTACAGTGAAAGTGAATAGGGACCAGGGCAATGAAGATCCGAAAAGGACAAAAAAACATTATAAAATTTCCCCATACAACTCTGACGCTACTTTTCTGAAGTCACCTCATAGTGTTGTGTGAGGAAAAGACTGAATTTATGTCATTATTTAATTAAAAATCCTGCTTTGAAAACCTGGTCCCTGTTCACTTTCATTATATGGATATTCTTCTATAAATATCTCATTTTCTGTTCTTCAGAAGAAAGAAAGCCATGCAAGTTTTAAAATTATGACAAAATTTTCCTTTTTGGATTAACTTTTCCTTTAATACTTTAGAGGATTTTATGAAAACCTTTTGTATAATCTCACTTACTAGGTGAGTGTAAATCAATATCTTGCTCAATAAGTGTAAACATGCAGATTATCCAAAAACTCTTTCTCTTTTGCAATAACAGAGGTATCCAGCACAGCACCTGGAAGGCTCTCACCCATTCCTGAGCTGGATCCCTGGGAGAGAGAAGCAGAAACAAGCTCTACAGAATTCACATACTCCTTATGCTCGGTGGACAGGTACAGCACTGCCTCCTCCTCCAGCAGCTCCCTATCTGACTCCCAGGAGAGAGGAGGTGGGTCACACATCATCACACCTGGGTTTGCAGATTGGCCACCTTCTTCTTTCCCAGACCACTATACTGCCCTAAAATGCTCTAATGAATAATTATTACAACATCAACTGCCACCATGAATTGTCTTGTATTAAAATTCCAACTCCTAATTTTCTCTCAAATGAGCACTAGTTTTATACACTATCTTGTTTTTTAAAAATCCTTTGATTTTTTTTAAATGAATTTATGTGTTGCCACAAGCATATAATTATGCATTTTTAAATTGTAAATTTTTCAAATCTATCTATAATTTAAAATGAAAACTAAGGAAACGCATGTGATTTTAAAGCTGTCTACATCAGTTGAATAACTGAATTAAGCAGCACATTCGATTAAACTTACATATAGAGATGAATTATTAAAGCCATGCGCAGCGAACTCTTGTGCGTGACTATTATGATTCAACAGCTTTTTCAATATGAAATTAATTAGAACAATATATTTCCCCTCATTCAGCCGGTAGGTTCAGATGAGTTAAGGTGCAGTCATTATGTCGTAGTGTCAAGGTTTAGACATGTGTTACAATGCCTTTCCTGGTACAATATTCAGAGGTTAATCTAATTCCTACTCTTATGCTCAGAGGCAAAGGTATTTTGTCCCGCATTAGGCTCAAATCTACTTAAAGTCTTGAAAGCCCCATTTGAAGCTTGGTTTATTTTATTTTTTTACACAAAACCCTGGGCTGTGTGGAAACATTTTTTAAAAACAGACCATCACATTAAGTCGACTACACTAAAATCCCCCTGATTTTTTGATTCTACACTAAAATCCCCCTGTTTATGTAATCACCTGGAAGCGCCTGGAAAGGAAAAACACCTATACAGATGGATGATAATTGATTACATCTCCACACAGCTCTATTCCTTCTCTCTTTTGAAGGAAAAGGTGATTCAGTAAATTATGCATGTGTACAGAAGTGCCCAGCGAGAGCTGGGAGGCTTTTAAACTGTTGTATACAAGAGGTGCGGACAGACTCCTGGTCATTAAGGGCCTTTGAGTGTCTATCCCCATCAGCCGAGATCCCAAGGTAAAGAGTTTTCAAAGAGGCATTTAGGTTCTATAACATATGTAACACTCCATGGGCTTTTTAATCTCTTGGCATGATCATGACATGTCATTCTGAGCATTTCTGACATCATTCATTTTTATGCTTTTTGACATACAGTAAGACAGTAGCAGCATGTGTGTTAGACATATGTGATCATTTCAGTTCTAAATGGATGCATATTGTGATGTACTGTAGTAGTGATAAAGCCTGTCTGTTAATGTTTAACATTTTTCAGCAATATTTTTTCCAGTGCTGTTTCTTTGTACATTACAAATGTTTAAGGGTGTATCTTTAACTATGGATACTTTGGCCTTGTAAAAACTCTTACAAAACACATCTTCTCTTGCTAGTTTATTTAATTTTCCCACTAACAATGTCCAATGGTTTACATACAAGCATCACAGGAGAATTCTGTAATTTCTGTCATATTTCAGACATTTCCATCACATTATGGATTTTGTTTGATAACATGTGGTGATGGAAATAATAAACAGCGGTGGAAATTACATTTGAAACATTTTAAGCCATCTGTTTATAATTTTATAGTTAGCATTTTAATAACAAGCACCCAAAATTATATCATATTTAAATTTTTTGCATAATCGCATTTCTGCCCGAAACCCTCGGAACATAAAAGTACTAGTATTTTACCCTATATGGATTTTTCAAAAGTCTTTGTTAAAGAGGCAAACAAGTATTTGAAAGTCAGACAAAAGGACAAATGTACAAGAAGGAAAGAACTACAATACTATGAAGCATTATGAATGTCATAAGTTAGAAATGACAGAAAAATATACTAAACTATTGATTTAAAGATGTTGATTGTGATATACAGAAACAACATATTTTAAGTTTATTGCAGAAATATGCTTATATATACAAATATTTAAAAAACCTGAAACCCTTGGAACATAAAAGTGCTTTTAGTTGTGCTCAAATTATGTCGTAAAGCTTGAAACTTATCACACTTTCATTTTACTAGATTGGTTTGGCAAGAAGCACCACATATGGCCATTTTTGAACTGCATCAGTACTTGAATTCATTCTTTTTATTTGTTCAGGCCTTTTATTTTCATGACGTATTGCCAGCATCTGTAGCATCATGTTTCTGCTAACTAAACCGATACAAACTACAAGTGTACTCTCCATTAGGAAGGTTTTACATGCTTCTTTTAAATACACTTCCTGCAGCTGTGAATAAAGTGTAGATGCTTTAGCATTCCCTGTTGACTGCCCACAATCCCATTATTTCTTTGTTCTTGTTGTTCAGAGT